TCTCTCTCCTGCCTTCTTCTCCCACAATGAAAGATGCCTTATTCAAGTCCCAACAATAAGCTATTTTTCTGACTGAGTGGATGATTGGGGCCAGCAATCTCTTCTCCTAGAGGTATAATACACAGACCCACATACTGGACACTCCAGCAGTACCCTGTGGTCACAGTAGGTTGTAGGTACTCACAGAGAAGTGACTCTTGGAGGAGAGGGGAACAGGACCCAAATCAATCTGGTGGAGAAATTTTATAACCTTGTCCCCATTGCTATAGTATGAATATTGAAAAATGCAGAAAAAAGAGGAAAAGAAATCAATCCCAGCACTCATAATCCCACCAGCCAGAGAAAGCGTCTCTTTACTTTAGTACATATGTTTTTTATGTATATAAAATTGAGATAATATGGTACGTGCTATTTTTAATACATTGTTATCATTACATTATAACATTAGATATTTGTCCACAAAGGATTTTTGTGATGTAAGTTATTATAACATAAAGATGAAGAATAATCTATTTAACCATCTCTCATGGCCTCCATTTCTGCACCTTTAGAAGCAATCCTTCAGTGACTCTGTAATGCACTTGCTCAACAGGTGCCCACAGGTCAAGCAGAGTGTCCTATTATTGTTAATTCTCAGCTTGACAGCCTGGAGGCCTTGAGAAGGAGGCTTGGACTGTGAGGTTTCAGAGGGATGCAAAGGCTCTGTCAGAACTGGGCTAGGGGCATTCATGTAATATTTTGGATTAAGAATCTGTGGTTGCTGGTCAATCTGGGGCTAAAAAGTCAGCTGTGGTAATAAGAGATGAGTATCATTGAGGCGAAATTTTCTGTGCTTCATTGGGACAATAGGAAAATATTTTCCCCAGGATCAGCACATAGAAACTGTGGTCCAAGGGGACAGAGGCCACAATTAGTTGGCAGCTGAATTTGGCAATGTGTAAGAGCCTCAGTACTGGTATTGAAGGTTTGAGTGCTATAGCATTAAAGAGGTCATGGAGAGAAGCTGAGGCTTGACATCGTGTGTCAATTTCAGAGTCCCTGAATAGAGGCCAGGAGAAGCCATTGGTGAAGGGTCAGCCCCACTTGCTGTGGAGTCCCCAGGATATTGGAGATGCAGGAATTCAGTGTCTGCCAAGGAGAGCAACAGGTATGAAGTGGAGCTGGCCTAAGTCTGAGACAAGCTCTGTGTGTTGCTGATAGCAGAGCTGGAGAAGTGGAGCCGTTCAGGCCTCTTGGAACCCACATGATGGACATTCAGCACAGGGCCTGGATTTACACTGTTGGATTTTGGCTTAAATGTGATTGTTCCTCTGTCCTGGTCCTTCCCTTTTGGAATAAGAAATCATATATATATATATATGTATGCATATATATATATATGTACATAAACACACACACACACACACACACACACACACATACTGGGCAA